TGGCAGCAGTAACTTTAATGGAGGCCGTGGTAATGGAGGATATGGCAGCAACAACAACAACAATGGCTACGGGCGTGGGCGCGGTCGATTTGATGGCGAATGCCAATTTTGTCACAAGACCGGCCACATGTGGAGAGATTGCTTCAGATTGCCTGATGGATGGACCCCTTCTCAAGGCCAAGAGGGCAAAGGAGCAAGGGGAGGAAGAGGCAGAGGTCGTGGAGGCCGTGGTGGTCGTGGAAGCGAAGCGGCAAACATGAAAGGTGGAGACTACGACAAGGACTCGGGTGAAGATCGATACCCGGGCCAATTCTTCTTTGTCTCCACGCAAGCGGCAGCTGCAACAGGAGGTGTGGAAGGCTTTGAGGAGCCAGCTACTGTGGGAAAGGTCACCCTTCACTCTCTGGACTTTTGGGTGATCGATAGCGGCGCCACCTATAGCATGACACCTCGTGCGGCCTTGCTCACCGAACTCGAACCGTCGCCGGTCAAGCATGCTACATCGGCTTTGGGGCAGCGAGCAGAGGTGAAAGGCATGGGCAAGGCCATGTTCAAGGGTGCTGATGGGAAGATGGTGGGCCTCAAGAACGTGCTTTTGGTGCCCAACCTAGTAGCCAACCTGATTTTCGTTCGGCGTTTGCAAAAGGCCGGCATGGACACATCTTCCAAGGGTTCCAAAACATATACCGCGAGGCTTGGTGAGCGGAAGCTTTGGGACCTTCATGAGGACAGGGGCATCTACAATGAGATGTGGCAAATCCCAGTGGTCCCCATGCCTAAGGAGAGGCAAGTGGCAGCAAGCGTCAGCACCAAGAGTGAAGCGGTTGGTGGCGGTGATCACGGAAAGCAAAGTGACACCAAGAGTGACTCAAAGGAGTGCAACCTTGGAGAGACCAGCAATGCGTGTGAACCCAAGGAGAGTGGTGCAGCAGCCAAAGGTGGTGGAAATGAGGAGGAGAAGCCTAAGATCAGCAAAGCAGCAGCGACGAAGGAGAAAGGAGAGAGCTTGTGGGGCACGATTGCGAGTGCCGCTTTCTCCAACCCGACTTCCGCTACGGGAGAGTGTGATTGGCTGACCTTGCATCGGCGAATGGGGCATGTGGCATTGCCCATTTTGCAGCAGATAGTTAAGCAAGAGATGGTCAGTGAAATATCCAGGAAGAACCGAAATAGCTACTATGCTTCTCCTCCTCCATGCACCCAAAATATTCCGAGAATATCGGTCGATGTCGCTCGTACCCCTGAAGATAGCGGGCACAACCCCAGCTGTAAAACCTTGGACTGCCTCTGCTTTTTTGCACCAGCAAAAATCTCGAAACCACACGGTACTTATCAAATACCGCAGCCCCACTTCACAGCTTTAGCAGCGCCCCCACGGTTTCTCCACCAGCTGTACGCATGAAGTGAACCCTTTATATTACGAGACACCAGAGTCCACCACCTCGGCATGATGTTTTGGTCGTCGATCATGGTCAACGCGCATCATACGCCGTTTATCTCCGCCCAGTTGTTACCCAACTCCAGAAATTCTCCGATAACCTTGTCTAGCTGGCCGTGCAGACGTTCACCCATCATGCGGCTGCTGCAGGTTACCCCAAATCTGCTTCGCTGCTGCTTATCTAACTAAGAGAATCCGTAGAAATAGGTGTGAGAGTACGACCCCGTTACACCACTTGGCCTTTCCATATTTCCTTCCTATTTCATTTCTCTTTTTTTCTCATCTCATTTGGTTTCCTCTTCTCCCTTTTCCATTAACCTTTGGTTTACCCTGCTATTATAATTATATCAACGACCAGGCTTGGGATGTACTGGTGCGCTATATCTAGCGTAATCTTGCCGTAATCCCTTAAAGCCAATAGCCTCGCGTGGCTATACGCAGTGTGGTTCTATATTCTAGAAGGGTCTATTCCCTAAGGATAAGATAAACCTGGTTACCTGCTGTACTTTGGAAGTATAAAAGCGCCTTGTACTGATCAATAGAGCAATCTTTCCTGGAGTCATTCGATCCTGTGACACTTGGTTATCAGAGCTTTTCTCACTCGGCCGCGCTCAACAAAGCAGCTGCAGCGGGAAAACCTGCCTCGAAAAACCGCCGGGGGCGACCAATTCGACGCCGATTCTGGTAAGCACCAGCTCCGCGTTTTTTCGAATCACCCCCCCCGCGCGTGTTTTGAACAGGATGGCAACCTTCGACAACGCCGAGGTTACCCAACAGCTCTTCGCGCGCATCGCAGCCCTTCAGGAGGAGATGCGAGCGGATCGCGAAGCGTGGCGAAACGAGTTCGAGCGAGTAACTCGACTCGCCGGAGCGCAACACGACTCGACAATGGCGACGACGCAGCAGTCGCAGCAGTTTCTCGAGGCTCCGAAACCGCGCCCATTTGAGCCGTTCGATCCGAGCGATCGAAACTCCGATGCCCGCAAATGGATCGTCGGGATGGAGATCTACTTCGCAGCCGTCGGATGGAGCTCACCAGCCTGGGACAGTCAACGTGTACGACTCGCGGCGACACTGATGCGAGGGCCGGCACTCGAGTGGATTGGCGGCAACAGCACTTTTATCCACGGTGAAGCCACGTGGCAGCAGTTCTGCGCCAACCTGCTGAAACGCTTCGAGCCGATAAATTCCTGTTTCCTTGCCCGGGAAAAAAATCATCGACACCGACAGTTCGGGAGTGTAGCGCAGTACACGCAGCAGATGGAGGAATTTTATAACCGAATTCCCGACCTGACCGAAGGGGAAAAAGTACAGTCGTACCTCGCCGGGCTGAAGACCGAAGTCAAACGACAAGTGGCAGCGTTAAACTACGCGAGCTACAGTGACGTCGTTTCGGCAGCGGAGCGCTTCGACATGGTCAACGCCGGGACACAACGGACGCACGTCGGCAGTACGCGACAGGGCGACCGCTCGGCTCACCCCACGTTCGCCGACCCGATGGAAGTCGACAGATTCGAGGGGCGGCCACGTCCGAAAAACACCAACTACACGTGTGATTTTTGCCGGGTGCCGGGTCATCGAATCTTCGACTACAACAAAATGAAAGCCGCACGCGCAGAGTATCGGGCACGCAACAGTGGCGGAAATCCTTCGGCCAATCAGAAGACAAAAAACGGGAGTTGCCAGTGATAGCGGATCTAGCTGGCGAAAATAAAAAGATCCGGAATCGGCCGCGGGATTCCGGGAAAATCAACTTCGACGAAGCTGATTCGACGCAAGAAGGAGGAAATGATGGGGGAAAATCTCCACCCCACGACCAGTCTTCGCCAGGGAAAATCGCCGAGAAAAAATACGACTCCGCGAAAAAAGACTCTGCTGAGACGGGGAAACTCCTTGAAGACCCATGAAATTATAAGGATTCGTTAAAGCTATCCTATTAAGATGCCTTAATGAAAACTTATGATTCTCGAGGGGCTAGAGCCTTGGAGAAAATTTGGGAAGGACTCCAAAAGAAGCAGACAGCTGTGGAGATTATACCGGTACCGGACAACTTGGGGAAAAAATTATGGAGTGTGGAAAGAAGCCGACCTTTCCACGAAGTCAACGTCCTCTCCCGACACCAGCCCACAACGACTACCCGTTCCCCAGAGAAGACGTCGGTGGAGCTGAAGCAGCTCAAGAGGAAGCTGGGGGTATACAAAAAGCTGCAAAAAACCCCGAACTCCTCCTCCGGATGCATCTAGTTCAGCAACTTTGGCATCAACGACGCGCACAGTCGTCAAGGAAACTCCGGGCCCAGGAGAAGAGCCGTTCTCCAAGCAGCCTCGGCTAGCTGCCAGCCCAGGAGTAGATAGCAACGAAAAGGTGTGTACGGAATATTGGGATGTACCCTATGACCCAATCAATGAAACTATCTTTGGGTACTCCGATCAACGCCTGCCCCTCGTGCTCGAGGTCATCTGCAAAGGACGACGCCTCCAAGCACTCGTGGACAGCGGAGCATCACACACCGTATGCGATAAGGCAGTAATCGACCGACTTCGGGAAGAGTACAAGCCTTCAGGATTCTCTGCAACGATGGTGGACGGCAGCAAGTTACCAGTACACGGCGAAGCAGTGCTACACCTACAAATTGGACCACTGCGCTGGAGACCTGCACTCCCCATCACCAACATCAAAGGGCTTGAATTGATCTTCGGGCGAGACTTCCTAAAAAGATTCAACCCCGAGATCAACTGGGTGAATCACACCGCAAGTACAGTGACGGAAAAAACTGTCCGGATGTTTGACACTAATTAGGGTTTTTAGGCTTTCCGACCACGGTACATAAAGTCTTAATGTTTAATTGTGGTACGCTTTTGGAGGGGCACATAGTGGATGTGTTCACATCACTTAAGTCCATAGTAGTACACTGGATCTAACTTTGTGCCAAAAGTTATACAAGGGGGTCATCCGGACAGTTTTTTCCCGGGACAAAGCGTTAACTTCCGAACAGGTTTCTAGTACCTAGTACACCGACCCTTGGCCTTGATCACCACCCGCACCCTCCTAGGCATGTTATCTACGAGATAAGTGCAAACCGTTGCAGAGATCTTCTCGCACTCTTCCTGGACCCTCCTTTTTGCATAAGGGGGTGAGCACTAGGAAAATTTGAAGGATTTGAGCGTCTGCAAGAGTTTTGTGCACGATTTCTGTTTGAATGTTATCTATGAGACTAGCCACACTAAGGTATAACCAAAGATGCCATTAGCCGATTGGTTCCATCTTATCATGGGTCGTCTTCGTCGTACCGCTGTAGGGTAAAACCACGAACATAGCGGCAAAAAATGGTGTATATGCCGTGAAACTGAGGGTAACGTAGCACGGTTGATTATTCATTCTTGCACAATTAGAATCACGCTAGGATCTGCATGTCTCATCACGGTGCAGCAGTCGAAGAAGATGCGACTGTTCGGGAAGAATATCCGGGTTGAGGTCAGGTGAAGAAAAGGGCCACTCCAGTGCTACAAACTGATGTTCTCCAATGCTATTCCAAGCCTATGCGGTACAAATGGCTTGGAGAGCATTGGGGAGCATGAGTACGTTGCACTGGAGTGACCCTTTTCTTCACCAGACCTCAACCCGGATATTCTTCCCGAACAGTTGCAACTTCTTCGGCTGCTGCACCGTGATGAGACATGCAGATCCTAGCGTGATTCTAATAGTGCAAGGATGAATAATCAACCGTGCTATGTTACCCTCAGTTTCACGGCATATACACCATTTTTTGCCGCTCTATTCATGGTTTTACCCTACAGCGGTACGACGAAGACGACCCATGATAAAATGGAACCAATCAGCTAATGGCATCTTTGGTCATACCTCAGTGTGGCTAGTCTCGTACATAACATTCAAACAGATATCGTGCACAAAAAGCTTGCAGGCGCTCAAATCCTTCGCATTTTTCCAAGTGCTCACCCCCTTATGCAAAAGGGTGGGTCGAAGAAGAGAGCGAGAAGATATCAATAAAGTTTTGCTCTAGCCGCGTAAATAACATGCCTAGGAGGCTGCGGGTGGTGATTAAGGCCAAGGGTCGGTGTACTAGGTACTAGAAACCCTGTTCGGAAGTTTGCTCTTTGTCCCGGGAAAAAACTGTCCGGATGACCCCCTTGTATAACTTTTGGCACAAAGTTAGATCCAGTGTACTACTATGGATTTTAGCGCTTTGAACACATCCACTATGTGCCCCTCCCAAAGCGTACCACAATTAAACATTAAGACTTTATGTACCGTGGTCAGAAAGCCTAAAAACCCTAATTAGTGCCGAACATCCGGACAGTTTTTTCCGTCACTGTATCTACAACAATGGACGGAGAGTACAGCTACCCAACTGGGACCATACAGGAGATATTCCAGTGGAGGCACTCGCACGCTTCGAGAAGGACGTGAAGCGAAGCGACACCGGGTTCCTAGCGATAGCAACAGAGGTGGAAATCGACAGGGAGAAAACCTCGGAACCTCCTGGAAAAATCAAGGAATTGTTGACGGAGTTTCAAGACATTCTCCCTGACGATCTTCCGAACGAGCTACCGCCATACCGCACACATCAACACGAGATCGTGGAGGAACCGGATTCTAAGCCGACCTTCCGAGCACCATATCGGCTAAGTCCTACGGAGCTGACCGACATGAAAAAACAGATCGAGTATCTCCTAGCCAAAGGACTCATCCGACCATCTACTTCAGCGTACGGTGCCCCAGTGCTCTTCACATCGAAACTGGACGGAAGCCTGCGCATGTGCATCGACTACCGAGCTCTTAACAAGCAGACCATCAAGAATAAATATCCGATACCACGAATCGATGACCTGCTTGACCAGCTTCGGGGAGCTACGGTATTTTCCAAATTGGATCTGCGGTCTGGATACTGGCAGATACGGATGGCGGACAACTCCATCCACAAAACTGCTTTCCGAACTCGGTATGGATCGTACGAGTATTTGGTAATGCCATTCAGACTCACCAACGCACCGGTAATATTCCAAGCCGAAATGAACCACATTCTACGACCACTTTTGGACGAGTGCGTGGTGGTGTACCTGGACGACATCCTCATCTACTCGCGCGACATGAAGCAGCACGTCGAACACCTGCGATGTGCCTACGAAATTCTTCAACGAGAACGATTCTACGTCAAACTGTCCAAGAGCGAATTCGCCCTTATGAAGGTCGAGTTCCTAGGACACATGGTGAGCGCTCAAGGAGTTCACGTCGACCCCAAGAAAATCGAAGCTGTACGTACGTGGAGACACCCGAGAACGTGAAGGAGTTGCAGCAGTTCCTAGGCTTCACTAATTTCTACAACAGGTTCGTGCCACAGTATGCGAAACTTGCAGCACCACTCACAGATCTGCTGAAAAAGAACACGCCCTACAAATGGGAACCGAAGCACCAGGAAGCCGTGGAGCAGCTGAAGCAAGCACTTACGTCCGCACCAGTACTCATCTTGCCAGATCCCAAACGCGACTACGTCACCGAAGCTGACGCCAGTGACCAGGCAGTGGGAGCAGTCTTGATGCAAGATCAAGGAAATGGACTGCAACCAATCGTCTACCTCAGCAAGAAACTACACGGGGCAGAACCAAACTACCCGATACACGACAAAGAGGCCTTGCCATCGTCATCGCCTTCAAAGCATGGAGATGTTATCTCAAAGGACGAAGAACAACCGTCTACATCGACCACTGCAGCCTGAAATATTTGAAGACACAACCCAACCTTTCCCAGGCGGCAAGTCCGGTGGATCGACTTCCTCGAGACACACTTCCACTACGACATCGTGTAGAAGCCCGGCCACAAAACAAAGCAGACACCCTCAGCCGGCCTGCACACGTTGCCGCTATCCAGATCGAAGGGATGAATCCACTACTCAAGGGACTCTTCACACACGGGTACGCCATCGACCCCGAAATTCCCTTGGCAGAAAAGCGACATCTGCTACAGTGGGACAGTGACATCGCGTACCGGAAAGGATCAACAAAAATCTGGGTACCCAATTACCCTCCTTTGCGCCAGTTTACTACTCGAAGAATACCACGACGTCCTCTATGCCGGACACTTCGGTAGCAACAAGACGCTGACCGGTTGTTGCAAAACACTACTACTAGCCCCACTTGGCAGAGATGTTCAGAAATTTGTCACCTCGTGTGATACATGTCAGAGGATGAAGAGCAGCAAACAGAGGAAAGCGGGACTGCTACAGCCTCTTCCTGTCCCAGAACAGCCATGGCAAGTGGTTAGCCTGGACTTCATCACCGGGTTACCATCTACCACCAGCGGTCATGATGCCAATCCTTGTCGTCATCGACAAGTTCTCCAAAATGGGACACTTCATCCCGACACACATGACAGCACGCACCGGGGAGACAGCACAACTATTCGTTCGATACATCATCTCACAGCATGGCATTCCAACCACACTTATCTCCGACGAGACCCCAAGTTCACCAGCAATTTTTGGAAGGAACTCATGTCTCCGCTCGGACCAAACTCGCCATGTCATCCGCTTACCATCCATAGACAGACGGACAGACCGAGCGCCTCAACCAGATTGTTGAGCAACTCCTCTGAGCAGCCTGCAAGGACGAGATCTCCAAATGGGACTTGCACCTGCCCGTTCTCGAGTTGCTTACAACAACGCTACACATCCGCTACTGGACAGACGCCGTTCTTCCTCTGCTACGGATGCCACCCACTCACACCACAGAAACCGACAACATCCGTACAGTCCAACCTGCACATGATCTCATCACAACCATGCATCAGCTTTGGGATCAGACCCACAAGCGCCTCTTCGACATCAGCAGCAAAAAAAGCGCCAGGCGATCGCCATCGCAACGACCACACCATCACGGTGGGAGACCAGGTGCTTCTTGACACCCGCAAACCTGGACATCAGCCACCTCCCATCTAAACTTCGACCTCGCTTCTGCGGGCCTTTTCTCGTTGACGCACAGGTCACTCCTGTTACCTTCCGCTTACGCTTGCCAGCTTCCTGGAAGATTCACAACGCCTTCCATGTCCAACTTCTGAAGCCCTATCGGGATCCAAACACGATCTTCGTCAGACGCCAACCGCCGCCGCAGCCTGTTTTTTCAGACAAAATTTAAACATATGTCTTAACGTTCAGACGAAATAAATCAGGTGGTTTTAAAAATCATATGAACCTAAAAAATCGAGTCTGATTTTCAGACCATCAGACTGATTTCGTCTGCTACAGTGGCATCAACAATTGTCCACATGTTTAGCATATTTTCACATTTTGACGAGCTGTACGCTATAAACATTAAGCCTTAATTCATGGTGGCCATACACGTAGAGAGGAGCAGTTAGAGCACTCACTCAAATCTCCTAAAACCAGAGTAGTATATTTCATGGTCCTTCAAGACGACAACATTTAATAACAGCACATCCGGACAATTTGTACCGAGGACAGGCAGCAAACTAGTTACTAGCAAAACTAGTACCTAGTCAACCGACACTTGGCCTTGATCACCACCTACACCCTCCTAGGCATGTTATCTACGAGGTTAGTGCAAACCTTTACAGGGATCTTCTCGCACTCTTCCTGGACCCACGCTTTTGCATAAGGGGGTGAGCACTAGGAAAATCGCGAAGTATTTGAACGTATGCAAGAGTACTGTGCACGATTTCATATTGAATGTTATCTCTAAGACTAGCCATGCTGAGGTGTGGCCAAAGATGCCATTAGTCGATTGGTCTCGTCTTATCATGGATCGTCTTCATCGCACCGTTGTAGGTAAAAATTACGAGCAGAGTGGCGAAATTTGCGTATCTGCCACGAAACTTAGGGTAACATAGCACGGTTGACAGTGCATCCTTGCACTATTAGAATCATGCTAGGATCCGTATGTCTCTGAGCGGTGCAGCAGTCGAAGTAGTCGTGACTGGTGGGGAAAAATATCCGGGTTGAGATCTGGTGAGGAAAAGGGTCACTCCAGCGTAACATACTCGTGTTCTCTAAGCCATTCTAAGCCATGTGTCTCGCCTAGGCTTGGAATGGCTTGGAGAGCATGAGTTTATAGCACTGGAGTGACCCTCTTCCCCACCAGTCACGACTACTTCGACTGCTGCACCGCTCAGAGACCTATGGATCCTAGCGTGATTCTAATAGTGCAAGGATGCACTGTCAACCGTGCTATGTTACCCTAAGTTTCGTGGCAGATACGCAAATTTTCGCCACTCTGCTCGTAATTTTTACCTACAACGGTACGATGAAGACGATCCGTGATAAGACGAGACCAATCGACTAATGGCATCTTTGGCCACACCTCAGCATGGCTAGTCTTAGAGATAACATTCAA